ATGTAGTTTGCGGCCATTTTCTACTGGCCAGAGTAAGAGCCAATAGCTGGTTTCCACGAATAGGCAGGAAGATTCTATTGGCCAGCGTGAGAGCCAACAGCTGACTGACACGAATGTTAACTAGCATGCTAGCATGCAAAAAAATCGATAGCTGCATTCGTCACAAGTGGGAAAAATTTAAACCTGCATGACACTTTGCTCCAATTGGCTCATTTTTTTTAAACTCAACGTTAAATTCCCGCAGAACTTAATTTGGGTGTGAAAAAGTATTTGTTGTTAACATTCTTTTTCCATTCGGTTTTTCCAGTTACGAGTGCTTTTTTAAAGCTGATCGTTTTGTGTTCATTTTGTTTAGTTCTTTTTTCGTAACAGATTTAATGTTTAGTATAGAGCTTAGAAAAAATTCGCAGTGTGAGATAGGCAAGAAGTAAGGCATGTAACAACATCAGCACGGCAAAGGGCACTTCTTTAAAGACAAGGAAGGGCAAAAATATTTTAAGTCAAGTGATAGCGATTGCTGTATGAGTCGTACAATTTTTGAATCAAGGACGGGCAACGCCGGGCCATGCTGCTAGTTTAGAATAAATGCAATGCGATATTTAACGATTTATAAATGCGTAAATATGAATTTTTTTTCATAAATTTATAAACAATTGCAAAATTACATTGTTTATTTACAAGCTTATTTGTATATTTACAACATTCTTTTTTGTTTGAGTTTCTGGATGTTTCGTCGATGTACATTATAGAAGATTCCTATTAACATGGCGCCGCTAACAAAAGTTGAATGTAGGTGGACTGCAACAGACAATACTAAGACATGATTAGTAAATGAATTGACGCACGTAGATACGAGACGCAGAGGTATAGAGAATGGTCGACCTCCTGTCAACATGACGTCGAATGAGGGTGACTGAATCTCCCTTTGTAAGTGTGAGTAATATGCTGTCTATGTAGTGCACCACTAGCAGTGGTTTACCTACTTCACGCCTTTGGCGATTATTGCATTTTGTTGATCTTATAAAGATTACCATTTCCATTTCCAACCTCCGTTTTGGTTATTCCTCATTCAGTAACCTTTTCTAGGTTACAACAGGTTCTCGAATGGATTTGAAGATGGGAGTCAGAGTATAAATGTTGATACCATTACTGAAGGCCTGGATGATCTTTTTCCCTCTCACCATTGCTCAGTTGAGAAGACATAGTGAGGCTGACAGAAAATGATTTTAACCTATTCTATTTCTAGTTGAATAACTCAAAGGGTTTTTCAGCGATTCGTATGATAAGTGGTGTCAAGATGGCTAAATGTCTTATCTGAAAACCCGGAAAAAAGAAATCGATTAGTTTAGTGTTTTTTATATATATATATATTAATCATTTTTTCGGATGGACAGTTTTCGCCTGCTGTTACAAGATTTGGACAATTTTGCTGTTACACCCGTTATATATGAAATGTGTTTTGTTTGGGGTTTTTTAAGCACATTTCAATATACGGTGTGGAGGATATTTGACTTCGTGTCGCTAACAGAATTTGAATGTCGGTGGACCGCAATAAACAAAAGGAAGACTTGATTAAAAAATCAATGGCCAATGTTTATTGATTCAGGTAGGTATAAGATGCGGAGGAAAAGAAAATGGCCGACCTCATACCAGAATGACGTCGAATAAAGGCGAATGAATCATTGGTACGGCTACCGAACATGTCCGAACTCAATAGTTGGGAAGTGAGAAGCGAATGATCATCCTCTTTCCGGAAGTGAGGACATAAAATTCAGACGTCACCGGAAATTCTTTTTGATTTCATTTTGCATTGTGGGAAAATTAAATTCTTTATTTTTTTGTTATTATTTCATTTTTTTATTTTATCTATTATTTTATTTTCATTCTCTCGCAACATCAATGGGCATTTTGTGCAGTCATTTTTTTTATATTCCCGTCTTTGTTCTTTTGTTACTCGTATAATGCTAACTACATTTCTTATTGAACACAGCAGAGTTATTCTACATCATAACATTCATAATTATCGTCATCGTAATCATCATCCTCTTGATTTTTGGTAATCGTACGGTCGGGGATCCGAATGAAGAAGCCATATTGAATCTACTTCACAACGGTCTATCAGCGGCAGCCATTCAGATCTAGTCATACTTGTCCATTGTTTGACATTTTCCAACCATTTTTTGCGTTGGCGTCCTCTCCTACATCCACCTTCAACGGATGCCTTGCATGATGGTCTGGCACGGTCTGTCGTGCTGAATAACGTGTCCAAACCACGCCAATTTTCTCCGTTTGACAGTGGCGAGAAGAAATTTCTGGTGACCCACAAAACTTTCAACCCTTTACCGCCCATTAATTTTATGCTCCCAATAGAAGATAACGAGAAGTTTTCTCGTGCATTTATCCTCAAATGCTTGGATGCTTCTCTCTGTATCTACAAACAGTGTCCACGTTTCATATCCATATAGGAGAATGATGACTACCAGTGATTTGTACAGTCTGTACTTAGATAGATAGATAGATAGATAGATAGATAGATAGATAGTTAGATAGATAGATAGTGTTATATACCGTACCTATGAACACTAATGGGTATGTCGTAATCCTCATAAATACGTTGGACACTATTGTAAATGGGCGCAATATGCTGTATAAGTAGCCCACTACTAACAGTGGTTTACCTACTTCACGCCGCTGGCGAGTAATGCAACTTGTTGATCTTATAAAGATTACTATTTCCATTTCCAACCTCCGTTTTGGTTATTCTTCATTCAGTAACCTTTTCTACGTTTCAACAGATAGATAGATAGATAGATAGATAGATAGATAGATAGATAGATCTAATTTTACTCTTCCATATTCTTGCCAATTTGGCCAGACGGGTCTTCCACCGATAGAGATTGAAGAATCATGGCCGTTTCTGCTTTCTTGCATAAAATAGAAATAGGTTGAAGAATATGAATGGAAGGACTCATATCTGCCTCACACCCACTGTTATCCAGAAGAATCGGCTAATTTCTTTTCCCAAAAGAACTGCACAATACAACATTCTAAAAACTAATACAATTGAAACTAATGCAATGCAGTATTTATTATTTACCAAACGATAAAGAAAGAAATATGAAAGCAATTTTTTATTTGCTGATAAATTTATAAACATTTACTTAATTATTATAATATGCGAACCAACTATAAGGAAATGCTTATTATTTACCATTTTATAAAGTTTGAATTGATTGACAATTAGCTGATTTTTTTTTAATATTATCATAGTTTACTCAAACAAAATTATTATTTTTTGACCCCAAAACTACTGATTGATGTTCAAGGGTTACACAATGAGATTGTAAAAAGTAGAAGGAAGAGTCTCAGGGCAAAAATGGGTAAACGTTCCCACAGTAAAACGTAATATCAAAAAGACGTTTTTTTCCATGATACCGCTATTCTCAACTACCTTCCCTCCGTGGCAATGTTTATTATTTTAAAAGACAATGATTAGAATTGTAATAAAACCCAAACATATGATGAAAGTTTTTTTGTTCTTGAGAATTTAGAACAAAAATATTAAACACTATTTATTAGATTGTTTATTACAAAATAATTTTATATTTACAACATTCTATAATTTAATACAATTAAAAATAATGCAATACAATATTTATCCGTTTATAAAGAAATAAATATAAATAACAATTTTTATTTATAAATCTATAAACATTTACTAAATTATTAAAATAGGTGAACCACCTCTAAGAAAATCGTTATTATTTACCATTTTATAAAGTTCAAATCAATTGGCAACATGCTGATGTTTTTATGACCATTCCAATAAATAATATATTAAATACATAGTGTAAATAAACAATCTACTAAATAGTGTTTATTATTTTTGTTGCCAAGAACAAAAAGAATGTATAAATTCACTTTAATATGTTTAGATTTTATTACAATTTTAATCATTGCTTTTTAAAACAATAAACATGGCCGAGGAGTGAAGGTAGATAAAAAAAAGTGGTGTCACAGGAAAAACCGTCCTTTTGACAGTGAGTTTTATTGCGGGCACGTTTGTCCATGTTTGCCTTTCTGATCTTGCTCCTTCGTTTTATAATCTCATTCAACCCTTTCTTTTTCGAATTTGAGGGCTTTTGGGGCTGAATATTGAACGAACAGCAGCAACATCAACAATAACAACAACAAAAACAACAACAGTAATAATAATAACAAACATTGGCTAATTGCCAATTGATCCAAAATATATAAATTTCTGTATAAAAATTGCTTTTATATTATTTCTTTATAAATTGGTAAATGATGAATATTGCATTGCATTTTTAGTTTTAATTGTATTATTAGTTTTTAGAATGTTGTAAATAAAATTATTCTCGTAAATAAATAATCTAATAAATAGGTAGTGTTTAATATTTTTGTTGTAAATTCTCCAGAGCAAAAAAAAATGTATAAATTCACTTTCATCATATATTTAGTTTTTATTCCAATTCTAATTATCGCCTTTAAAAAAACAATAAACATTGACATATTTTGAAGGAAATTAAAAATAAATTGTCATGGAAAAAAGGTCCTTTTGATATTATTACGTCTTTTTGGGAGGGTATTATCCATTTTTGCACTTCATCCTCTTCCTTCTCCTCTTTACAATCTCCTTCCGTAACCCTTGACCATGAGTGGTTTTTGGGCTTGTCCTTGAGCGAACAACAACGACAACAACAACAGCAATAATAATAATAATCGTTATGATTGTTAACGGATATAAGATACCCGGATATAAGAGAAACCCGGATATAAGAGATTTTTCTGGTCCCAAATTAGAGCCTGTGTTAATGTATAAATTAGACCCGGATATAAGTTAAACCTGATATAAGAGAAACTCGGATATAAGAGACTTCTCCGGTCCCGACAACTCTCTTATATCCGGGTTACACTGTAATAATAATAATAATAAACATTGGCTAATTTCCAATTGATTCAAACCTTATAAATTAATGAGTAAAAATTGTTTCCATATAATTTCTCTATAAATTGGCAAATGATAAATATTGTATTGCATTAGTTTTAATTGTATTAGTTTCTAGAATGTTGTAAACATAAAATTATTCTCGTAAATAAACAATCTGATAAATAAATATTGCTTATTATTTTTGTTGTCAAAAACAACAAAAAAAAATGTATAAATTCACTTCCATACGTTTCGGTTTTATTCCAATTCTAATCATCGCTTTTTAAAATAATAAAAATTGCCGAAGAGTGAAGGTATTTAAAAAAAAAAAAAAGCGATGTCATGACAAATTCAGCCATTTTGACATTACTTATTGTGGACACGTCAGTCCACGACTGCCGATCCTGCTTTCCTTCCCGAGGTCAATGTACTGATAATTAGGAGCTTATGCTGAGGCATGTCTTCATAGTTGGGATAAGAATGCCCTTGAAGAGAAAATCAGCACCCTATCAAACTTTCCAAGAAATAGGACTTAGGACAAACCTTTCCAAAGTTGAAACTATGATCGGAAATTGGAATGAAAGCAGTAATGGCTCCTACCCTGAATCCATCGTAAAAAAAATAACTGGGCGGGGAATTAGTAAATACTAAACACTTCAGATAACTCGATGTATGGAGCACCTATAACAGATTAGGTATAAAAGAAGAAAAAATTGAAGATAGAATAGACTGCGCCAAAGATAGTTTCTCCCACGACCGCAAATTGCTACAAAACCGAAATATCACCCTGAAAACTCGAATCATCTTCTTAAATAGCCTCGTCGGACCGAGATTTTCATTTGGATGTCAAGCATGGCGCCAAACCTGTTTAGAAAGGAAAACTCTTTCCATACAACCGCTTCCTGAGATCAATGGTTTAAAATTTTTCAGCAAATGAAACCTGAAAATGGTTTTTAAAAAGAAAAGATTTTATAAATTGCCACCGACGGTGTTTTAGTGGGTGCTCTGTCAATGAATGGCAAATGTTTCCTTATAAGGAAAGGGCTAATATTATCATTCCTATTAGCATTGTCTATAAACTCCCAAACTAAGGGCTCTTCTTTGAGACTTAAATCAGATGACCGAGGCTTTCATTGTTCTGGCCTTGTTCAAAATAATCACACAAGATTATATCCTTTCTTACAAAAACGACATTAACCGCAAAATTACCCCCAAATTAGGACCCAAATGTATTAATCCAAAAAACTCAGGGTCATGTTCTTAAATAGCCTCGTCAGATATTAAGACTTTCATCTGGATGTCATGAATGGTGGCAAAACCGTTCAGAAATATCTAAACTCTCTGTTCTCTCAGATCAATGATTAGAAATCGGTTCCAGTGAATTAAGCTTGCAAGATCTGTACTGCTTCAAATAAAAATTGAATGAAACATTTATAGCCCTAGCCTGACTCCATCATAAAATTACACGATGTGAATTTAGTAAATACTAAACTCTTCAAACACCTCGGTGTATGGAAGAGTCATAACAAATTTAGTAGAGGAGATAAGGAAATTGAACATAGAATAGACTGACAGAGGTACTTTCACCTAAAAGAGCAAATTGCAACGAAACCAAAACATTAACCAGAAAACTCGAGCCATCTTCTTTGACAAGAAAGACAATTATCACTGCAATATAAGAGGACAAATATTAGCAATTCAGAGGATTTTTTGTCCTGTTTCTGTTTTTTTCAAGTTAACTCTTCAACGATAAAGAAACTGTTCAGCATTCACTACCATATAAAAATTGATATTTAATTATAACTTCAGCACTCTTTTCTTTGTTTCTCTTGCTTCTAGTCTCCTCTTCATCTGTGAAAAATTGTCCAGCATTCACTAAATATAGGAAAATTGATATTATTTTATGTTTTTCAGCACTATTTTTCTTTGTTTCTCTTGCTTCAAGTCTGAATTTTTTTATCAGTGAGGAAATTGTCCAGCATTCACTGCCATATAGGAGGATTGATATTATAGCAGTTCAGCACTCTTTTCTTTGTTTTTCTTGCTTCAAGTCTCCTCTTCATCTGTGAGGAAATTGTCCAGCATTCACTGCCATATAAAAGGATTGATATTACATAGCAGTTCATACTCTTTTTTTTTGTTTCTCTTGCTTCAAGTCTCCTTTCATCTGTGGAAATTATCCAGCATTCACTGCAATATAGGAAGATTGATATTACATATCAGTTCAGTTCTCTTTTTTCTTTGTTTCTCTTGCTTCAAGTCTCCTCTTCATCTGTGAGGAAATTGTCAAACATTCATTGCCATATAGAAGGATTGATATTACATAGCAATTCAGCACTCTTTTCTTTGTTTCTCTTGCTTCAAGTCTCCTCTTCATATGTGAGGAAATTGTCCACCATTCACTGGCATGTAGGTGGATTGATATTACATAGCATTTCAGTACTCTCTTCTTTGTTTCTAATTAAATCTTCCTCTTTTTTTACAAAACAAGGTAATAAGAAAGATATTTCATTTCCTCTTTTATGACACTTCACAGAGACTTACATTTTTTGGACAAACTTTTTTGGAGATTGACTTTGGTCTTCCTCATTCACATCTTGGCCTCTGAAATTTCTCACATGAGCCACCATCCTTTTCTCAATATCCTTCTGTAGAGCCATATCTCTGTTGCCCTAAAAAGCTTTACTGTGAGAAATTGCGGAGAGAGAACGTCAAATCACTTATCATTACTTTTACAAGTATTTAATTAACGCAAATGATAAAATACAAGACTTAATCTTGTGGAAAATGTAAAATGAATTTACGTTTATATTACATGAAAATTAGTCATGATAGAGAATACAAGATTGAAAAGAAAAAGAAGGCAAGCACTTAGGGAAGATATCATTTCTAAATAGAATTATGTTAGGCTTATAAAAACAATTATTATGAAAATATTGTCGAAAGGTGTTGAGACTAACGATATTTCTCCGACATCACT